CTACTTTGAGAAGCAGGGCTGGGTTTGTCCAGCTCGACAGACTACTGGAGATTTCCTCACGTCGATTACAAATCCTCAGGAGCGACAAGCTAAGCCCGGCATGGAAAACCGTGTTCCCCGTACGCCTGAGGATTTTGAGGCTGCGTGGCTCAAGTCACCTGAATACAAGCAATTGCTGAATGAAACTGCTGAATATGAAGAAAAGAATCCCGTTGGAAAAGATGTGCAAGCCCTCGCTGATTTCCAGCAATGGAAGCGTGGCATCCAGGCCAAACACACCCGGCCCAAGTCTCCATACATCATCAGTGTTCCTATGCAAATCAAACTCAACACCGTTCGCGCCTATCAGCGACTCTGGAACGACGCTGCCTCGACCATCTCCACGGTGGTCACGAATATTATCATGGCACTGATCATCGGATCAGTCTTCTACGGTACTCCGGATGCAACTGCAGGGTTTACGTCAAAAGGTGCAACCCTGTTCTTTGCGGTTCTTCTCAATGCCCTTACAGCAATGTCCGAAATCAACAGTCTCTACTCGCAACGCCCAATTGTCGAAAAGCATGCCTCCTTTGCCTTTTATCATCCTGCCACGGAGGCCATTGCTGGTGTGATCAGTGATATACCAGTCAAGTTTGCATTGTCTGTCGTGTTCAACATCATCCTATACTTCCTGGCCGGTCTGAAACGAGAAGCGTCCAACTTCTTCCTCTACTTCCTCATCACTTTCATCATCACGTTCGTCATGAGTGCAATCTTCCGCACATTAGCTGCTGTGACCAAGACTATCTCACAGGCAATGGGTCTGGCAGGTGTCATGATTTTGGTCCTCGTCGTCTACACCGGGTTTGTCCTCCCTGTTCCATCGATGCATCCGTGGTTCGAATGGATTCATTATCTTAACCCGATCTACTACGCCTTCGAGATACTGATTGCCAACGAGTTCCATGGCCGCGAGTTCCCTTGCTCATCCTATGTTCCCTCCTACGCCGACCTGTCAGGCAACGCATTCAGTTGCACTGCGGCAGGTTCGGTGGCAGGCTCTAGAACAGTCAACGGTGACCGGTACATTCAACTGAATTACTCCTACAGCTACAGCCACGTCTGGCGAAACTTTGGTATCCTGATAGCCTTCTTGATCGGTTTCATGATTATCTACTTTGTCGCAAGCGAGCTGAACTCTGCTACTACGAGTACCGCCGAAGCTCTGGTCTTCCGTCGCGGTCACGAGCCTGCCAGTTTCCGCCAGGATCATAAGTCTGGATCCGATGTTGAAAGCACCGAGCCATCTAAAGCTCAGCCTGCCGCGGGTACAGAAGACAAGGGAATGGGTGCCATCCAACCTCAGACGGATACCTTCACTTGGCGCGAGGTGTGCTATGATATCGAGATTAAGGGTGAACCCCGTCGCCTCTTGGATAACGTTTCTGGATGGGTCAAGCCTGGAACCCTGACTGCACTTATGGGTGTCAGTGGCGCTGGTAAGACGACTTTGCTTGATGTATTGGCACACCGCACATCAATGGGTGTTATCACTGGTGATATGTTTGTCAATGGTCGTGAACTGGATCAAAGTTTCCAGCGAAAGACAGGTTATGTTCAGCAGCAGGATCTTCACCTGGATACTGCTACTGTGCGTGAGTCTCTGCGATTCAGTGCCATGCTGCGTCAGCCAGCTTCCGTCTCGGTTAAGGAGAAGTACCACTATGTCGAGGATGTGATCAAAATGCTGAAGATGGAGGAGTTTGCTGAGGCCATTGTTGGTGTCCCTGGTGAGGGTCTGAACGTTGAGCAGCGCAAGCTGTTGACTATCGGTGTCGAATTGGCCGCCAAACCCAAGCTGCTACTCTTTTTGGATGAGCCTACCAGGCAAGTACCCTGTCCGACAAATTCTCATGCCTTGCAAATACTAACTATGTCTTAGTGGTCTCGACTCTCAGAGCTCTTGGGCTATCTGTTCATTCCTTCGCAAGCTTGCCGAGCACGGCCAAGCAGTTCTTTGCACAATCCATCAACCCAGTGCCATGCTCTTCCAACAATTCGATCAGCTGCTGTTCCTCGCCCGAGGCGGCAAGACTGTGTACTTCGGCCCGGTCGGAGACAACTCGAGCACAATGCTCGAGTACTTCGAATCCAATGGTGCGCGTAAGTGTGCGGATAGCGAGAATCCAGCTGAATACATGCTTGGCATTGTCAACGCTGGTCAGAATAACAAGGGCCAGGACTGGTTCGATGTGTGGAAGCAGAGCAATGAAAGCAAGCAGGTCCAGACTGAACTCGATCGAATTCATAAAGAAAAGGAGAATCAAGCCCCGGCCACTGATGATTCAGCACAAAGTCATTCTGAATTCGCTATGCCGTTCTTGTTCCAACTGACCCAGGTCACATACCGCGTGTTCCAGCAGTACTGGCGCATGCCTTCCTACATTCTGGCGAAATGGGGACTTGGAATTGTCTCTGGTCTATTCATTGGGTTCTCTTTCTACGATGCCAAAACGTCGCTGCAAGGCATGCAGACCGTCATCTACTCTCTCTTCATGATTTGTACCATCTTCTCGTCATTGGCGCAACAGGTATGCTCAACCCAGAATTCAAGCAAATGAACATACGCTAATCTCACCAGATCATGCCCGTGTTCGTCAGTCAGCGATCGCTCTATGAGGGACGTGAACGTCCCAGCAAAGCCTACTCATGGAAAGCTTTCCTCATCGCAAACGTCATTGTCGAGATCCCATTCATGGTCGTCATGGGTGTATTGACCTACGCATCGTACTTCTATGCTGTCGTTGGAGTTCCTAGCTCGCTTACCCAGGGAACCGTCCTTCTGTTCTGCATTATCTTCTTCATCTACGCCAGCACCTTCACCCACATGGTCATTGCCGGTCTCCCAGACGAGCAAACCGCCAGTGCAGTCGTTGTTCTTCTCTTCGCGATGTCTCTCACATTCTGTGGTGTGATGCAACCCCCGTCTGCCCTTCCCGGCTTCTGGATCTTCATGTACCGTGTCTCGCCATTCACATACTGGGTCGGCGGCATGGCTAGCACACAGCTTCACAATCGCCAGGTTGTATGCTCGACCGCCGAACTAGCCATCTTCGATCCGCCCTCTGGCCAGACTTGCGGACAGTACCTCCTGAAGTATGCCACTGCCGCTGGTGGTCAGCTTCTCAATCCCGAGGCTACGAGTGATTGCAGTTACTGCTCTCTCAAAGTCGCAGATCAGTACTTGGGCACGGCCAATATCTTCTATTCTGAAAGGTGGCGCAACTTCGGTATAATGTGGGCTTTCATTGGCTTCAATATTTTCATCGCTACTATCATGTACTATCTTGTCCGCGTGAAGCGGTGGAGCAGTGCGGATCTAAAGGAATCAGTGATGAAACTCATTCCTGGGAAGAAATCGAAGGGTGGCAACTAAATTGTGTCATTTATTTCTCGCTTATATTTGTCATTCTTTGTCTATATTTCCTTATCATTTCTCTTTGGTGCTTTCGTCCTTCTTCTAATGCCTTTCAGGCCACCACCTACTGACCTTGCTGTTTATATCTCCTATTTTTGTCACTTTGAGTCTCTCGCACTGCGCTGCACAAACAGATATCTTGTTCTAATAGGCTACATACTTATATTACCAAAAGTCACTTTATGATACCCTTGCATGTTAAGCTTAATCTACCCAAGTACCAACCGCAACCTTGAAGCTATCCTGCAATCTAGGCGGCTTTGGAAGGACTAGGATGCCTGTTTGGACTTTATTGCTGTGTCTTAAAGAGTTCAAAATAGCCGAAGTAAACCGGTTGCTCTTTGGTGATTTCGGCTTGAGTGTAGATTTGATTATGACAAGAATTGACAGGGGAGTGACAGTCAATCTGCCTCTACTTGATGCGCCGTTGCCAAGTAGGCGTCGAAGCGCCTTCCTGATTCAGAAGTTGTGTTGTTTTCCCCCAGCATACAAATACCCTCTTTATCTTACTTCTCCTCCTTCCCTCTTTCTCTCTCTCCCAACTGACTTTCATGGCTTCGACACCAGACTCACCTGTGACGAGCGGCACTGAAGGGAGGATGGCGGCGGGCTGCCACGGTCTAAGATGCCAGCGAGGACATATAAGGAGGAGGAACTTGTGCTGGTGAGAGAAATAGGGGGATGCTGCAGGGGCGACCGTTTGAGCATGTCAGAGATAGGAAGCACACCAGGAATCTTTTCTCGGACACAGTGAGCGTCGGTCTTCTCAAGCCTCGGCGTTCGCTTAAGCAATGGATATAGGGGATCTGAATCTTCTGGTGCTGTAGACTCTGGTGAAGTGGGTTCGAGGGAGAATGCGGGTGGTGGGTTACTTTTTGCTCTGTGATGATTCGGTCTTGATGATGCTTCTCATCTATCGGACGTGGCGACACCCTCTGTGGCGGCCGGGCAAGCTTGATCGGAGGCTCGCAATTGACCTACTGAAGCAAATTCTGTACTTGATTCTTTTTTCGTGCTGTATGTATCGTTTGGGCTTGTGGTTGTGGGCAATTGACTGACGAATCCGTCTGTTTGTTTCATCACACTCTGACATGAACACACTCCACGGTGTGAAATCCTGACAGGCAAGCCAGTCTATTGTTCTACGCTGTCTCTTAAATGATGTATCAATTTACTATCGTTAAACTTTTGTTTGTGTCGCCTTGGATCACTTTTCTGTATTATATCCATTGTTTCTATCCAAAATATATATGTAGAATTGAGCCGCATATGGGTTTAGCTTGGAGGTAGAATATATAATACCAGTGCCACTGCTTCTTTGCCTCTTATCCCAAGTCCTCAAATCCTTGATCTGTCAATAAAATAAAGCATCCCAACCCTTTTGGATCCATTTTATAGATCCAAGGACCCCCAAAAGCAAAGCAACCTTATCCTAGCACGCACAGACCAACGGCACATCACCTACACCAACGTCAGGGCCGTAGTAACACCACCCAACGAACCAATCGTCCGACAGCCTCCCACGTCCAAGAATACCAACATGGACCCAGACGCCGGCATTCCCGTCGAGCCCGCGCCTTCCGTCTTCAACTACGTGCTCTCCTTCCTACTCGTCGGCGTCGCATGGGGCTTCACAACCCCCTTTATCCGCCGCGCAGCAGCGGACTTCAACGCCCGACAAGAGAAGCAAGCAAACGGATCGAAACCCTCACGGCGTTCCAGAGGACGGTCACAAGATGTACCACAAACCGGCTTCACAGACGCGGGCGAGGAACAGGAATTGCTCTCTCGGGAGGAAGAAGACCGTGACTCGGGTGACGAGGATGGTGTGCGGAGGCGGAGTACGAGTCGCAGTGATCTGAACCGGAAAACAAAGTCTGCGGGCGCAGACACGGGTCTGGATAGTGGGGTTGCTGGACAGAGTGCGAGTCGCGATACGATGGAAGATAGGGAAGGCGCACATGAGGACCAAGACGATCTACCCACGCCGGCGTGGAGACGTGGAGCTCCTGTGAAGCAGTCATGGCTGCGGGCGAAGATTGTTTCTGTTTTCTGGACGGTTGTGAATCTGCTTCGCACGCCTGCTTATTCGATTCCCTTGGTTATTAATCTCACGGGCAGTATTTGGTTCTTTTTGCTTGTTGGGAAACATGGTAGGTGGCATTCCTTGGCTTTATTGGCTTCTGATGCTGCGATCTTGAGCTGTGGAGTTGGCTAACTAATTGGTGTGTAGAACTCTCTTTGACAGTGCCGCTTGCAAACTCGAGTGCGTTCTTGTTTACTGTTCTTGGGGAATGGTATGTTGACCGCAAGGTGATCGCGAAGGAGACATGGTTGGGGATGGGGCTCGTACTTGGAGGGATTGCATTATGTGTGCATTCTAAGAACCAGGCTTCTTGAAGTTGCTTCGATTTTGATTAGGGAGTTGGTGCTGATTTATACGGCGTCAGTATATTCGACGCACGCTAGAGACTTAAATGTAGCGATGTAACGTTTTTGGAACCTTTGAGGGAATCTTGTAGCTAATAGAAGTCAAAAGGTTAAACATAATAAAGTCGCTTTCACAAAATTAAGCCCTTTTTGGTCTTTTCTGCTGTCTAACAAACTGAGAAAGGGGAGAAAATATCTATATAACCAGGCATCTAAAAAGACTACCTGAGAAGACCACCAAGAAGACTACGCTATTCTTGTATTCACTATATTCACTACTTGAAACCTCGCATAACTAAACCTTGACTCAGTCCCGGTGATGCCCGAGATTCATCTACATGGACACTGCTTTTTTTTTAAGAACACAAAGTTTGCGGAACGATCAATACTCCATATCCGCAGATAGAGTACACAAATTCCCAACCATGAAAAGAACACAAAAACCATGAGCCCAAGTATACAGATGCAAAGGCAAAGACATGCAAAGGATGGACCAAATCGGAGGATAAAAAGAAAAAGACCAAACCCAGATGAATCACGATATCATATCATTCCGCGTGTCACAAAGGATGAAAAGCATATCGCAGGAAAGTCATCAAATACATTACATTTCCATTTCCATTTTCGTACCAGACCGGGCCCGCCGTGGTATTGTAACCCAATCCAAATGCAGACAAAACCAGGGGATATATGAAAACATAGCATTGCTGCATGGCGCAAAGGAACACAATCGTCATGCTTAAAAGACCACTGAATCAAACGCCACGGAACTAGAAAATGAATATTAGAATGTGATCACCAAAGTCTTAGTGCAAGAAAGATAACTCACCATACGAACAACCAGATACCACATTGCACCGATAAACTTGAAGATTGACAAACCAGCAACACTCCAGAGAACAACCTTCATGTAGATCATGGAGCGTTTGGTCTCCTCCTCTTCAGCACTGGTTTTGGATGAGTCGTTGAAAGTTTCCAAACCGGCAGCGCTCAGAACAACGGCACCAAGAGCAAAGTTGCAGAATACCCAGGCGAGGACGACGGCACTGCGGAACCCCTTGTAGTAGTCGGCTTGCTTTTCTTCCTCGGAAATAACCGTAACCTCCTTTGGGGGCTTCATGGCAAACTTCTCAAGCTCCGCCTCGTACTGCGCGTTCAGATCGCCGTCGTCTTGCGGGATGTTGACGTCGACCTTACCGCCAGGTTTGAGGTGCGCGGAAGGCAGTTTCTCGGCCTTGTCATCTCCCTTGGTACCCCATGTGATATCGTGGGTGTTGCAGAAGGCGTAGATGTTGAGGACGTTGATGTAGGTTGGCGTGAGCAAGATGTATTGAATAAACTGGAGGTTGTTAGAAGACCCAACAAAATTAAATTCACAGGATGACTTACACAGGTGAACATGTGCCATGGGTCCAGGAAGATGAACGAGGCGAGGAACCACATGACATAGGTCGATCCAAGGGAGACGATGATAGAAAAGAACGTATCATTGGTGATTAGTTGGCTGGCCGTAAAGCTTTGCGAGGCCACCTGTTTTTCGATTGATTTGACCGTGACAAAGATGGCAGCGAATGCAAGGTATATCATGATCACGATCCAGAAATATACCATGGTCATGTAGAACTTGTTGGATCCGCCGGGTCGATTACCGAGAGCCAAAACGAAGCACGTAACAAGAGTTGCTAGGTATAGCCATTCAAAGACAATGCCCAGAACCTTACCAGCGGTACCCAGTAGATCAGCTGCGCCCAAGTATGTTGTCAAGATGTGGAACACCAAGAAGAAGTTACCCTGCGCAAGGTGTTAGCATAGATAAATAAGAAAGGTGGATGCAAGAGAAACGTACAATTCCGAACCACGCGAAAATCATCGCAATCGTCTGATAGACGAATTCAATCATCAGCATAAACTTGCGAATGAAGGTATGGTCGCTGCGGAAGATCTGGTAGAAGTGGGTAATGGCGTAGACTGCAGCAAAGAAACTGCCATTCAGCCAACGACGACGCTGGAGAATGAACTCGGCCATCTGATCAGGCACATCGGTTTCACCAGTCGACGACTTGACGTACTGAAGGAGCCATCGGCACTTCCGCTTGGAAACAATCTCGAAACACAGGATTCGATCCTCAGCCAAGTACATGTTGGCTGTGAATATACCGGCATTGGCACCGTGCATCTTCTCACCCAGGAAGTACCGCTCTAGTGGACCTTGACCGTTCTTGTCGTTTTGGAGTGCGACAAAACGGTAGGCGGAGAACGCACCTGGCAGCACAGTAATAAAACCGAATGAAGACTCAAGCGGTTTGTCGAGAATGTTGCTGAGCTTATACTCGAAGTTTTGACCAGCCACCAGCGGGTTCAGCAGTTTCTTGCCGTGAGACAACATGACCTTGATCTCACCACATGCACCACCACACATAGGCTCGACATCGAAGGCTTTCCAGAGGTGATAGATCGAGTCCCTGCCAGGTTTGGTACCCGCATCCAAGAGGACACAGATGTTGGGATCCAAGACACGACCGAAGGCTTGGAAGAACCATCTATGAGAATTGATTTTTTTCTGGTTCTTTTCCTTCAAACAGAAAATCAGCTGCACAGGAGGTCCAGATCGAGGCTTGAGATGCACTTGAGTGCCCTTCAGCTCAAGCCCAATTTGAGTGGTGTACTCGTAGATATGCGCGGTGACGTCCTTGCCGTTGACTTGTTGCTTCGCAATTCCGTCTTGGTACACACCCAAACCCGCCAGCACAGCACGCGTCCGAGGGTTGATCTTGGCACGACCGTCGCTAATGATACAGACTACAATCTTCTTCCACGAATCCTTGCCCCACGTTTTGCTACTGGTGCGTGAACACATGTGATCAATGTTCTTGAACACGCCAGACATGGTGCGCGCGAAGAGGAAGTCATCTTCATTGTACATGGTCACGGCGATGAAGAGTTCGGTGTTGCGAGGCTTTGCGAAAAGCTTCTGACGGAGGGTGAACCGCTCTTCGAAGAAATCAGCCGGATCGCATGTCGCTGCAGAATATCGCATGTGCGTGAATTCATCGCGACCTGGTGGCTCAGCGTGGGGTACTTGGCTGAGCAGTCTCGGCGCAATGGGGCAATCGAGAACGAGGTTGCCGTTGAAAAGTTGAACTTCTTTGACCGTCTTCCAACGGCGAATTGGCGCTGGGCTGGGCGTCGGGCGCGGTTCATCGGTGAACTCGGTATACGGGTCCGGCCCGAAGGGGGTTTCGCCCGCTTGCAGCATGGGCTGGTCAACTTCGAAGGGGGTATGCCCCCCCTCCGGGTACTGGCCTAGGTCATAATCATCATGTGGGGTGTGTGTAGGCTGGTAGGGTTGGGTGTAGTAGGCGTCGTGGTGGGCTTCGGGGTCAAGCGAATACTCGTGACCAGGATAGGGACGGTGTGCGTCGTATGCGTCATGGTGGCCATAAGAGTTATCGACATGTTCGACCGAGTACTGTTTTCAAGGTAGATTGTTAGTATCGATTCGTACAGAGCATATTTCGCTCTTATCTTGTACTACTCACAGTAGGTTGCTCGGCCAAGCGATCACTGGACGGCATAGGAAGATGCGACTGAGGCCCGTATGGGTTGTCCGAGAGCTGGTAGCCATGTTCTAGCGGTCGCCCTGGGGAAGGTGTGCGATTGCTGTATCCGGTAAGATGGGAGGGATTTAACATGGGCGAGGTATACTCGTCTCCGAACGGGTCTGTTCGCGACATTGTTAGTTTTGAGATGTATAGATTCCTCAATTAAAGCTTGAATGGCAATAGCTCGATGCGCAAATCGTACTGAGACCATTGAATCAATGACCAGCACCGATTTGAGGAGTTCCAGAGAGATGGAGAATGCGCGGGCAACATGAAAAGAGAAAGAAAGAGAGGGAGGGCCCAATAAGGCTAGAGGGGCACTGACCGGCATCCACACGATTGTAGGCCATAATGTAGGAGCCTTAGGATCGAGTTCAGCGAAATTATCCCGCCCCAAGTTTGCAGCAGGGGGTGATTGGAGATTGCGCCAGGAGCGCCGAGTGGAATATTAAGCGTCAGCGGGAGCGATCACTAGTCCGAGTGACGGATCTGAATTCTCGGCGTCGTTTCAGATATGAAGGAGGATCGCAAGCGAAATTTGATACAAGGAGAGGGTATATGGACTATGGATTGTCACACAACCGCGTAGTAGGTGAAGAAGAACAACGATAAAAAAAATGTGGAATTAAACCCGTGTTGGCCCCTCTGTTGTTTACGACGCCTTTCGATTCCCAGCAACGATGACGGTATGGGGCGAATCAGAAGTGTCTGTGCAGCTCCGCACTGCCTTGTGGGGGGAATCTTCACACGCTGATTAGGCCCGCTGTATAGAGATGCAGGTGACAGTAGAAAAAGGAGCAGATTCTTCAGTTCGGAACAATAATCTCCAATGATATTTCAGTAACCAAAGGAAACCAAAGGACTGTTGGACCTGAAACCATCGAGCCGTGGGTGAAGGGGAGAAACTCCACCCGTTGGAGTGAATTGCTGTGTTACTGGGCCAACTGGAACTCAGCCACATGGGCTTGTCACCTGTGGCGCATCTTTTCCCTTGGAGAGCCTATCCAATGTTCACTTTATTCTTTTTTTAGCATCTGAGGTCATGGTCACACTATGATTAGGCTACTGTTCTTTTTTTCCTTCTTTTCACTGAAAAATAAAAAACAGCTGCCTGTTCCTACTATGAATAGGTGATCGACCTGCAGCTTCAATAGCTTGTGCTTTGATCTGCACGTCTTTTAGTTTTTTCTTTTTTCTTCATTCCTGCTTTCTGATGTACGACATGTGTACAGAGTAGCACCGACGTACTCCGTAATGCAAGTCAAGGTATCTCTTCAGGGCTGGTGGAGACAACTTAGGGCCTATCGATAACCCCCCGCCTTGCATTGTCAATCTCGACCCTCTTGTACAGGCCCCTCCTTGTATACT